CATCTGTAGAGTAAGACTTGAGTGTCATCTATAGAGTAAGAGTTGAGAGTCATCTACAGAGTGAGAGTTGAGGGTCATCTACAGAGTGAGAGTTGGTCATCTACAGAGTGAGAGTTGAGGGTCATCTGCAGAGTGAGAGTTGAGGGTCATCTGCAGAGTGAGAGTTGAGGGTCATCTGCAGAGTAAGAGTTCAGGGTCATCTGTAGAGTAAGAGTTCAGGGTCATCTGCAGAGTGAGAGTTGAGGGTCATCTGCAGAGTGAGAGTTGAGGGTCATCTACAGAGAAAGCTCCAGGCCAGCTTGGGCTACCTGAGACCCTGATCAAACAAAGGAAAGAATGGTGAAAATTTTGAGCATGAATCCAAGTTGTGGGGAGATCTGACAAAGTGAGATTCTAAGAACTGGAAGGAGTGACAGAGTATTTAAAAAAGAGAGAGAGAGAGAGAGAGAGAGAGAGAGAGAGAGAACCTGGGCATGGTAGTGTATGCCTTTGATCTCAGTGCCCCGTGAGGTAGAAGTAGATGAATCTTTTTGAGTTCCAGGATAACCATAGCTAAATAAACAAATAAATAAATGCAATAAGAGATAGATTGGGGCCAGCAGAATGGCTCCTCAGGTAAAGGCGCTTTGCTGTCAGTAGATGCAAAGTCAGCGACTGGAATTTAACTCTGGAACCCAGGTGAAAGTAAAAAGAGAGGACTGAGCCTAGAGAGATGTTGTCTGACCTGCACACATGCACTGTGAACAGCTGCACCCTGTATACACACAAAACAATATCATTTTATATACGTATTTGAGACAGGCTCTCTCTAGTTTTGTAGCTCTGGTTTTCCTGAAAATCCCAGTTAGACCAGGTTGGCAAAGTCTTGGAGATCTGCCTGCCTCTGACTCCCAAGAGCTGGGAATCAAGGTGTGCACCACCACCGCCTGGCTTCAGGCCTCATTTTTAAGATTACAGTTCTACTTCCAGTGGCTGGGCACTCTTCATGATTGTTTGAGCTCTTTGCTGTCCATTCAGAGAAGGGTATTCAGAGACAGCATCTCGTCACAGGCTCAGGTACAGCTGGGACCTGGTACCCATCCCAGCATCCCAGCAACTCAACAAAGTCATAATGTTATTTGTCAGGAACTGTTCCAGAACTAACTTGGAAAGTCCCCAAGGGGACCAAGGCATCTGGCACAAAAACCCTGTCAACTTTTTCTTGATCTGAATAGACCAAAGTAAATTTATGCCTAAAAAGCTAGTTTCCAGATTTCACTGTCTTTTCAGCCACATGTTATTTTCAAATTAATAGGTAAAAACTAGTGATGCATAGTAATCTTATGAAAATGAAAGAACAAAGTGAACAGCAAGATCTCTGGATGATGAGCAGACCAAAACATGTGCCCTGATGGGGCCCAAAGACACCTGGTAGGCTGAGCTGGCTAGCTGGTGGTAGTGAGGGGATGTTACCTGTCATAGAGACTAAAACTCTGCAAACTACATCTGGCTGATTTGGGAAATGTGGCTAACCCATTTCCACTCCTTGTTTGTCCTATTGCTAAAGTACTTTTCTATTTGTTTACCTTGGAGGTGGATTTCTGAATCATTTTCCTGAAAAAGTATATATTTTATAAATGTAAAGATACTATGTGCATTAGCAAATATCTCATTTTTAGTTTGACTTTTCTATGTCTATGTGTGTTTTGCCTGAATGTATGTGCAGGTGTGGTTGGGTCCGGTCCAGAAGAGGGTGTCAGATTTCCTGGAACCGGAGCTGGTCAGTTGTGAGCTGCCATGTGGGTGCTGGGAATTGAACCCAGATGCTCGGCAAGAGTAGCAATTGCATGGGGCGGTGGCGTACGCCTTTAATTCCAGCACTCGGAAGGCAGAGGCAGGAGGAGCTCTGTGAGTTCGAGGCCAGCCTGGTCTACAGAGTGAGTTCCAGGACAGCCAGGGATAGACAGAGAAACCCTGTCTCCAAAAACAAACAAACAAACAAACAAACAAAAAAGTAGCAATTGCTTTTAACCTCTGAGCCATCTCTCAAGACCTTCCTTTGTATTTTTTAAAATCACTTTTAATTTTGTATGTGGGCAGACATTTGAGGTTGAGGACAATGTAAAGTATTAAGTTCTGGACCTGGGGTCAAACTGAGGTTGTCAGGTGTAGTGGCAACATCTTTACCACTGGGCCATCTGGCCACAAACCTTTACCTGATTTTTTTAAAGACAGGATCTCACTGTGTAATCTTGGCTGGCCTGGAACTCACTATGTAGATAGGAAGGCCTCAAACTCCCAGAGATCTGCCTGTCTCTGCCTCCTAAGTGATGGGAGTAAGGGTGTGAACACAAGCCTGGTCCCCCCCAAAAAAAGTATTTTTTTTTCCAAAAAAGGTATTTTTCAAAGACATTAATGGATTTAAGGATTCACCTTAAAAATAAGAATATGAGGGGGCTGGAGAGATGGCTCAGAGGTTAAGAGCACCAACTGCTCTTCCAGAAGTCCTGAGTTCAATTCCCAGGACCCACATGGTGGCTCACAACCATCTGTAATGAGATCTGGTGCCCTCTTCTGTGTACATAATAAGTAAATAAAATCTATAAAAAAAAATAAGAATATGAGCTGGAAGCTTAGCTCAGTGCTAATCTGAACTAAGGAGAAAATATGCATTGTGACCATTTGACATCACAACCAGTAAAATTGAACCCATACCAAAAGGGTCCAAATGGAGACTGGGAGGTGGTCATGTATGCCTTTAACTCCAGCACTCAGGAGGCAGAGGTAGGTGGATCTATGAGTTCTAGGCCAGCCTGGTCTACAGAGTGAGTTCCAGGACATCCAGGGCTACACAGAGAAACCCTATCTCCAAAAACCAAAAAAAGGTTTGTGGTAGTTTGAATGTAATTGGCCCCCATAATCTTGTAGGGAGTGGCACTATTAGGAGGTGTGGCCTTGTTGGAGGAAGTATGTCACTGTGGAGGTGGGCTTTGAGGTCTCACAAATGCTCAAGAGACTGCCCAGTGTTTCAGACCTCTTCCTTTTTGCCTGCAAGATGTAGGACTCTTCAGCTATTACTCCAGCACCACATCTGCCTGC